TTTATTATAGTCTTCTTCCTTTCCTGGAAAATTTTCCTTAATGAATTTAATGAAAGTATAATTTACGTTTAATTAATCCAGATTTGTGAGTCTGACTGGGACTGAGCGCTCCGCTTAGACAGACTTTACTGACTTCCTGTGGGGCATTTTCTCATCTGGCTGCAGTAAACTGTGGTAAAACTGTGGCTGTCTGGGAATGTGCTCATTAAACCAACAGCCTGCTGACATTCAGGACAGATGGAATATTAGGCAGGAAACCTGCACACCTTCAGGAACTAACTGGACCATGACTGTGAAACACTTGGAGATACTCTAATAATTCCTTGTCTCTGTCACAGGACACGGTGGTGGCTCTGCAGGCGTTGTCCACATTCGCCCCCCTGGGAATATCTCATCACTCTGACATAAACATCAGAGTGGATAACAGAGACTCAGACAGCGTTGCCTCCTTCCACATCAACAAGGACAACTTCCTGCTCCTTCAGAGTCAGCAGGTAACCAGGGAGCCTTTAACCAAGAAAGGATGACTGTCAACATCAATCAGGAAGCATCTGCTTTTTTGTCCCTAGTTTGGGACCAATAGGATAGGCTAAGAGGACCAAGGGAGTAGCTCAGGGATTTTATAGATCCAGGGATAGACCAGACCATGAAGAGCTGCTTAATCTTAACAAGCTTTTAGACTTTAACGAGCTGTCAAATCTTAAGGAGCTGTCAGATCTTAACGAGCTGTCATATCTTAACGAGCTGACAAATCCTAGCAAGCTGATGGACTATAAGAAACTGCCAGACTTTAACGAGCCGTCAGATGTTAACGAGCATTCAGGTCTTGACAAGCTGTCAGGTCTTGACGAGCTGTCAGACTTTAACAAGCTGACAAACCTTAACGAGCTGTCAAACTTTAACAAACTGTCAGACTTTATTAAGCTTTCAGATCTTAACGAGCTGTCAGACCTTTACTAGCAATCAGACCTTAACTAGTTTTCAAACTTAAACGAGCTGTCAGATTTTAACTAGCTGTCAGACCTTAATGAGCTGTCAGTTTAG